GTGATGTAGAGGAGGCACTTCCAGGGTGCAGGTACTGCAGGAAGGAGTAGTAGTCCCAGAGGCATGACCCTGAGGATCTACCAGGGTCTGGCTGTGAAAGATGGCAAGAGGATGCCAGTAGCAAAAATAACTTGAAAATGAGAGGGAAAGTGTTCAGCATGCCTTGTGACAGTTCTGCTCAGCCCCAGATGCAGGCAAGGGCTCTCACTAGAGCTGGAGCACTAGGGCTACCCTACAGAGCCAATTTTTGTTCTTTGGAGGACAGCATCCCTTCCCCACTCTTCCCTCAGCCTTCTCTGTGCTCTTTACGCCCTTGTACACCATATAGCCCTAGCTTCCTACCCTCCATCCCCCAGATGCAGCCAGGGAGAAGAACCAGGCACCTCCAAGCCTTCCCATTCCCGGCACACCTGGCCTGGCCCCCCAGTGCTGCAGGGCGGTCAGGGGGTCCCATCCAGCAGCATGTGCTGCCAGCCCCCTCTTGTGCTGCTGCTGCAGAATGGCCTTGGCGAGGCACAATGGAGCTGAGGCTTTTGTGAAAATGTTGTCGAGATCCTGCTCCCAAGATCCCAACAACAGCCTGGGAAAGGGGCCTAGTTTAATCCAGGTCTTGGAAGAGAAGCGCAGTGAAGCCCACAGCAGGGAAAGGAAAGCTCTGCTCCCCCTGACCTGGACTGAAATCAGCACCTCCAAGGCTGGTGCTGGAAAGTATTGGAAATTCACTGCATGATGTACAGCTGGGGGGTAGCTTTTCCTTGCATCAAGACACAGGAGCCTAGAAACAACCCCATCACATTCCTCATGCACAGGCACTTCCCAGGAACAAAGCAGGGCTGGATGACGATGTGGCTGGAGTGCTGATGCCAGCCAGAGATCCCATTGTGGTCCACAGCACAGTGAAAGATCAGTGCAGGACACAGCACGGAGATCTTGGCATCTACATGTCTGCACAATTTATGAGCTTCAGCATGAAACCCTCACTGGGGGGATGAGCAAACAGAACTAAACATGGTAATTTATTCATGCAATGAAAAAATATTAGTTAATCCAAGCCAATGAGATTGTAAAACCTGATAACTGGTCTGGCTGGTGCCAACATCTATCGCTAGAAGTACTCATGTTTTTTGTCTACACTGTTGCCCTAGGCAGTGAGATGCAGCAGCAGCATGACAGCTCCCAGCCACACATGATAATTTAAGAGAGAAAAAAATCTTATTTCAACTCAAAGCAGGGCATAACAGTTTAAAAAAAAGTCAAGACAACTTGTAAAAATTGATTTAGATAGCAGTGACACTCTGCAGAACTTATTTGCAAGTCTGTGCTGTGCAATTTGAGATAAAAACTGTTTCATGAAAGGAAGGATGAGTGCTGCTTGTTTGCTTTGCAATGCCACTGCTGTGCAGGAATACCAGCAGGCCAAAGCAAACACTGAAAGCTGAGAGATCCCCCTCTAAACATGTACGTTCACCCAGTGTTTGGCCCCAATGACTGCTGCCCTTTTGCTTGCAGCCAAGCCTAAGTGCTCGCATTGTGGCTTCAGGGACTAAAAAGTCAATTTTTAAAACTGTGTAAGCCCCGTAAAGCTGTCACTCTGAATCACAGCATATCAGGGAGGTGATATTTGGGTTTGCAGTATTCAAAATAGCTATTGTGAGTTTTTGTATGCCGTTGTTCAGCATTATCAAGAATGGAAGTGTCTCTCTGGACTCCCATGCCCACTTCCAAGCACACAGAGGCCCATCCCCTACTGCTCCCCAAGGTGGAGGTGCACCAGTCCCATGATGACACCCAACTGCAGCCCCAGAGGAGAATGGGGCTGGGTTGAAGTTCACCCTGCAGGAAGGCAGCGCTGGTTTCAAACATAATGCGCCTCTTGCTTCTCCTTCTTGTTTTTCAATTGCATGGCAAGGATGTTAATGAGTGTCTGAGCCACGGCAGGCAAGCCCAGGGCATTTCAAATGTGGAAGAACTTCACAGAGAAATAATCTGCATAAAATCTGAGAAGCCATTATCAAGAAGGAGGAAAAGAAAATGCAAGCAGAAACCATCCTCCCTCGGCAGCCAAGAGTAGCAAGAGAAGAATGGTTCTACAGAGAAAAATGTATTCGTTTGATCCATTATTTATATAAAGTGCTCTTTGTAAACCTGATTTCCCATCACCCTGGATGACAGCAGGAGGGACAGGAAAAGAAGTAGTCCAACTTCATACCTCCAAGGGAAAGACAGCCCGTCCAGGGACCCTGCCTCACACCAGGAAAGGGGACAAACCCCAGTGCCATGAGAGGTCAGTGCTGTCCCTGCAGGTGGGCAGCACCTCACCAAGCACCCCCACGATTAAGGGTAGCAGCTCTGGGCTTCTAAGCAGATGTTTCCTTCCTTTTGAAGCTGAATGCACCATCAAGTCCCTGCTGTCCCAATGAAACCCTTTAAGCCACTGAGCAAACCCACTAAAAATAAAAGCATTTAATATGGGGTTTTCACATGAACACACAGAAAAGCAGCAGTCTGAAACAGTATGTACATAGCATATATAAATAAGGAAAAAATTAAAAATACTTTGGAAACAACAGACTCTGAGAACAGTTAGTGGCTGCTCTGGGAGGAAGCATCCTTGTGAGTCATTACACAGGGTAGACAAATGAGACACAGTCAAGCACAACTAAAACTCCTCCCCCACCTGTAAGGCAGTGTGAACACACTGGGACTGCACCAGCCAAAGGGCCTAGAGTCTGAATCCATGAGCCATCCCCATCCTCCACATAGGAAGGACAGCCCCAGGCACTGAATCCCTCCTGGAACTGCCCTTCCTGGAGACTACACCCACCCTTTCAGCAGGGTGGGTGTAGAGACATACAGAACACTGGGCTGATGCCCCATAGATAATTTTTTCTGAAGAGCTAAACACATCTCAGCTGTGCCAGAAGCCAGAGTCCTTGAGCTAGAGCCATCACTAAGTGGGGACAGTGGAGAGAAAAGTTACATTCCTCTCATCTATACAGGAGCGGTATTTAGCCTTAGGAAGAAGACTGCCTTGCCAAGAAGACACCCATACAGAGAGAGATGTCCAAGTCAGCTAGGGGCAATGGGAAAAAGGGGGATGAGATGAACAAATGCTTCACCCAGCAACCACCTCCAATGCAGGCAAGAGCAGAGGCAGCAGGACCAGACCCAGCTCTCCCTGCACTGCTGCTTGGCCTTCAGCTCTGGCACTTCTCTGTTCAGAGGCAAAGCAAAGATCCTCAGGTCCTAGCTAACAGCAGACTGCAGGGGCAGGGTAGAAGTGCAGTCAGCAAAACATGCCATGCCCTTTGGAGAAGAGCACATAAGACAGCTTCAGCCTCCAGAGGGAACGACTACAGACACATCCAAGAAGCACATACTACTATCAGAGCAAACAGCCTCTGCCTTTCCTCACAGCATCCTCGCCTGCCTGGTCCCTGAAGAACCAGAGCTCTTTCTTCACTGCGACAGAGGCTCCTAACACCAGCAACTCCCAAATCACACATCTACAGTCCCAACTATCCCCTACATTTTCAAGAGTGGTCCTTCCATTTGGGGTCAGACTGGGGACAGGTAGCCCTAATAAAGTACCACAAACATCTCTTTGGACAGAGCAGCATGAGGCACATAGCTTTGTATCTCAAAAAAACCCAACAAAAACAGATTCCAGCTAAGCTGCAGAGGGCTCCGATGCCCTATTTTGACAGCTCTAGCCAGTGGGACTGAACTCCCTGCTCACATCCCAATATTCACACCTCCTGCCACCAGTCGTCTCAGAAAGCTGTCAAGGACAGAGCTCTAACTCCTGCCAGCTCCTGGTTCTTAAAGATTATAATACAATTATAATTGGATTCCAGAGATTATTTGCTTCACCGAGAAGGGCTGAGAAGTGTTCAGATGGTTCCCCAGATGATCAGATCTTTATTTCACAGTAGTGACCCTGTGTGTTTCCTACCCAGGAGTGTTTGCAGACAGGTACTTGGCAAGATTGGCTTATTGGAGCACTGTAGCTTAGCAAGGCAGCTGACACTGGCCAGCTGTGATTTGGGTTTATCCTGTATCTAGACGGTTTCATCTCATTTCTGCAGCTCAGCCCAAAGAGCAGAACCCAGCTTCAAGCCCTTTCCTCCAGTTTAATGACTAATCAGCCACCCAGATAACTTGAGCCAAAGCAATTGGCACCATTTGCAACAGATTACAAATGTCCAGAGCCCTCTATCACCTCTCATGCTGCTGATGCTGTTCCTACACTGTGCAAACAACCATCAGACTCTGTCTGTCCCAGACACCCCAGCTTCCAAAGGCTAGGCTGTCCTTCCCCAGACAGCCTTCACCAAACTCCAGCCCCACTCAGCTTAGCATCCCTGGGGAAACACAAAGCAGAGACACCCCATGTTCACCAGGCAGAGCTGTGCCATGGAAACATGAGGGCAGCAAACACGTGCTGCCTCCAGCTCAAGCTGAAACAGCGGGATGAGTCTATTGGGGAAGCTGTTTTGCCCTGGCCCCACTTGAACTGATAGCACTCAGAGTCTCTCCTCTCCTCCCAGGCCCATCCTGTGCTCTGTATCGTTTGTGCACTCCAGCCCTTTGGGGACAGCAGGGCAAAACAGAGCACAGAGGAAGCAGAGGAGGGCAGAGCTCCAGAGGGGGCCTGGAGGTAACGTTATCAGGGTATGGATGAAGGCTGGAGTTAAACATTCTCACTGCTAGCAAAGGAGAGGGAGCAAAAACAAGCCAATGTGCTAAAAACACAGAGCAGAGAAGCAAAAAATCACAGCCTAGCAACATTGCAGAGGAAGCTGGGAGTGCAAATGGCCCTGCAATACACAGGGCTCTCCTTGTAAGCAAGCACTCCCATTCCTCCCAGAGCCAGCAGGTCAGACATGCTGCACGTTTTGGTTAGATAGTGGTTTGCCCCATAGTATAATGAAATATAATTTATGTACAGAAAGAAACACGTCCCTGCAGTCTTTGCAAAGGTCCAGTTTCAAGAGTGCTGCCGTGTTGGTGGGGGATGCTGTGAACCTGCAGCACTCCCCTCTCAGTGCAGCACATTGTTCACAGCTTGTGAGGCTGGGCATTCCCACCCATGCGCCGGTGCGAGGCGATTCAGAGGGATGACGAATCCTTGGAAAGCAGGTGGGCTCGCATGCGTCTGCAGGATTCCTGGAGCAGAGAATTAGAGCAATTGAATGCCTGACACACAGAATACCCTGCAAAAAAAATTCTATGTGCTGTCTTTCCTCTGCAAGGACTCCGCCTTGGAGTCTGCCCCCACACCTTTTACTGAAACAGGACAACAGACAAGAGGCAGTGAGCAGACAGGGACAAACACAGCAATCTGTCTTGGGCTATACCAACCTCTTGTCCCACCATTTGTCTCACCTCTTTCCGGCTCTCCAAAGATTTCAGCTTCGTTTGGGACATGTGAGCTGGAGATCCACATTTCTGTAACTGGACAAGAGAGGGGAACAGGAGTAAAGAGCTGGGAAATGAGGTGACATCCACAGCCATCCCTGGGAGCAGCCTGTACCACCAGAAAGCAGCTACCACCCAAATCCACTCTTGGTTTGTCTGGGCCACAGGATTGCCCTACAGGCAGCAGGCTGTCTACAACTTGAGGAGGAGGATGGGAGAGAGGAAAGGTGTCAAAAACCAATGTCCCGGGACAGGGAGTGGCGCTTACCAGGTGGATGTTCTCTTTGCTGACTCGCTCAGGCTCTGGTGTGGCATCCCTGCTCTTCCTCTCCAGGATAACTGGGGTTCCCAAAACTTTCCGCTGCCGTAAGAAGAGAGGGCTGTTGGCTAGTGCTTAGAGTGCAAAGGGGAACAGAAAGGGACAGAGCAGGATGCATTGCTGGTAAGCAGTTAGATGCTGGGGAAGAAAAAAAAGAAGCCAAGCCAGGAGAAAGATTGCAGAACAGAACCACCTGAAATACCATGCCAGTAGGCTGAGCCAGTCTGATCATAAGGGGCTTCCAAGCAGACCTGAGGCCTGGCCAGGAGCCCAGCCTGTCAGAAGCAGGTACACGCTGCTTTAGGGCAGCCTAGAGTGTGCTAGCATCTGTGCTAACAGGCTAGACTACACGACCAGCTCCCCTGTCAGTCCTCATCTCATCTCAGGAATCAATCCTTTAGAAAGATGCGTAGGTCCTACAGACACGTTTCAGGGATAATTACACTTTATACTAACAAGGTTTATTCTCACTATGCTGCCTTTTCTGTCCCTAGTGGAACTGTGTTCTTTGAAACGCCAATACTTTGAACAGTTCCTACCTTTGAGGGCCCCATTCAAGCCAGGCCAAGGCAGAAGCAGAGAGCAACATTAGAAGCTCACAGCAGAGAGCATGGGTCAGAGGCTGCCCTTACCTTAATGAGGCCACTGAAGGAGCGCGAGCGGGGACGTCGCGGTGCTGGGGATGTGGGCACCTCAGAGCCAGGAGTGAGAGCTGTAGTATGCTTATTAAACTAGGAGGAAACACGAGGGCAGCATGTTAGCATGGTTACTGTATAGTTGCACCAGTCCCTTGCTGTCATGTGTTGCTCTACCAGCAGCCCTCTGCCTAAAACTGTTCAAAGTGGAAAATCAGCTCAGAGCTGCAGGGACAAGAAAGAAGAGGAAAGGAACTTCTCCCACCCAGGATTACAGAAAGCTTGGGCATGAGGCTGCTTTGTGCTGCCTACCAGGTTAGCCAAAAGTAGCAACTGTTGGAGAAGAAAGGGGTTTGGGCAGGAGCTGGAGGCTGGCAGCCAAGACTGGTGCTGACCATATCAACCAGTTTCTCTGGAGCAGCAAGCTGGCTGGGAATGCTCAGAGTGAGATTAGATGAGTTTGTCCACTCCCTACAGGCAAGAGGGGACAGGACTTTTCCCTTTCTGAGGGAAGAAGCTCAACAAGGCCATGATCAAGGCCAGGCCTGTACCTGTACTGGTACAGGTTGGGGGCTGATCTGCTGGAAAGCAGTGTAGGAGAAAGGGACCTGGGGGTCCTGGTGGACAGGAGGATGACCGTGAGCCAGCAATGTGCCCTTGTAGCCAAGAAGGCCAATGGCATCCTGGGGTGTATTAGAAAGGGTGTGGTTAGTAGGTCAAGGGAGGTTCTCCTCCCCCTCTATTCTGCCTTGGTAAGTCCACATTTGGAATACTGTGTCCAATTCTGGGCCCCTTAGTTCAAGGACAGGGAACTGTTTAAAAGAGTCCAGTGCAGAGCCACAAAAATTATTAAGGGAGTGGAACATCTCCCTTATGAGGAAAGGCTGAGGAAGCTGGGTCTCTTTAGCTTGGAAAAGAGAAGACTGAGGGGCAGCCTCATCAATGTTTACAAATATGTTAAGGTTGAGTGTCAGGATGATGGAGCCAGGCTTTTTCAGTCACATCCAGTGATAGGACAAGGGGCAATGGGTGCAAACTGGAACACAGGAGGTTCCACATAAACATCAGAAAAAACTTCTTTCCTGTGAGAGTGACAGAGCACTGGAACAGTCTGCCCAGAGAGGTTGTGGAGTCTCCTTTGCTGGAGACAATTAAAACCTGCCTGGACAAGTTCCTGTGTGATGTGTTCTAGGTGATGCTGCTCTGGCAGGGGGGTTGGACTAGATGATCTTTCAAGGTCCCTTCCAAACCCTAAGATTCTGTGATTCTGTGATCAGAACTGGGAAACTGATGGCTGTCTCGTCAAGTTTTATGGCTTGGAAAACTGACCTTGAAGCCCAGCTTGCTGCAGCAAGCTCCACTGTCAGCCACACCCAAGATAGGTCTCCTCCTCCCCAACTTCTTACAAGCTCTGCCCCTTAAACAGCCCAAAGCCCACTCTCACCAACCTCCCAGGACTAGAAACAGCTCTCAAGCCTTTAGCCCCATGCCCAGGATTTTAACTGATGAGCACACCCCAAAAAATATCCTTTCTCCCCACACTACCTGCCGGATAAGCTTCTTCTTCTTTGCAGAGTCAGGCATATTGTGGACATGGCGGAAAAGCTCCTTAAGTGCCTCCTCTGTGCGCTGCTGGGTCTCCTCCTGATGGCAAGTGTCCAGCCTGCTTCGCTTCTGAGACTTGAGGGGCTGCAGCTCCTTGGAGTCAGGAGATGTCAGCAAATCCAGGTCATCCTGGGAAAGTGGAGAGAGCAGTCGCTTGCCATGCTTTAATCCAAAAGAACCACCCATCTGAGCCAGGCTGGGAAGAGTCTCGTGAGCTGCCTCAACCCCAGTGAATGCACAGGACTGTGCTTTCCCTACCCCTCTGCAGCAGCACTGCACCAGCAGGCCCTGTGCCAGGAAGAGGTGACAACACTACAAAGGTGACCCCACTGCTTCTTCCCTCCCCTCCCAGATGCCAGTTGCGGAAGCCCTTCCAGGCTTGAGAAGGGTCAGTGCAGCTCCTTGTAATGCAACTTCCCTCTACTGCAGCTATATGAGGCAGGGAAGCATTTGCTGGCAAGACACAGACAAATCTTGTCCTAGTGGCAGCAAGTAGCCTTTATCCTAGCCCCTCTTCCAAGCAGCCTGGCCACAGCAGCAGGTGCATCTGTCTGTTTGGAAGGCATAACCTCATGAAGGAGCAGGTGCTGCACATACTGGGCATGGGGAGCAGGTTTGCTGCTAAACAGGGGCTGGTAGCTTTTCCTGTGCTTTTGATTAACAGATGCTTCAACTCTGCCCAATTTCCCTAATGCAGCCACCTACACTACCACGCCATATGGTTCCCTCATTCCT